CCAGTCACTCGTTCACAACGAGTACCCATGATTGTGATCTACATCCAATGCGTTGATCACACCTCATGCTAGTCTTGATTCAACATTGTTCCCACAATGATGACTGACTAGAGAGTTTAGAATCATTCGCTAATGATTCAAGGATGCCGAAATACAACAAACATGCTGATCGTATAACGGAATAATAATGCATTCATAAATCAATGAATCAATACAAAGTCAAATGTCATATCATGAATCATCCTAGAGCATTACAACCAACAATCTCCCACTATGCTCTTTTGATCTATCCTACAAGCATCTAATCCCCATACCCTTAACATGACCATCATGCTTTGACGAAGGGAGAGGCTTCGTCAATGGGTCGGCAATATTATCATCTGTCGACACTGCTTATCTTCACGTCTCCTCTGTCGATGATTTCTCTGATCAAGTGAAATCGCCTGAGTATGTGTTTGGATCTCTGGTGTGACCGGGGTTCCTTAGCTTGCGCAATCCACCATTGTTGTCACAGTACAATTCAATGGGATCTGCAATGCTAGGAATAACGCCCAGGTCTCCCACGAATTTCCTTATCCAAATAGCTTCCTTAGCTGCATCCGATGCTGCTATGTACTCGGCTTCTGTAGTGGAATCTGCAACGGTTGGCTGTTTGGAACTCTTCTAACTGATAGCCTCACCGTTCAGGCAGAAAACATAACCTGACTGCGATCTGAAGTCATCTCTATCGGTTTGGAAACTAGCATCGGTATAACCACTTATAGCGAGCTCGTCTTCCAATCCGCCATACACCAAGAACAAATCCTTAGTCCTTCTCAAGTACTTAAAGATGTTCTTGACCGCAATCCAGTGAGCCTCACCTGGTGTAGATTGATATCTACTAGTCATGCTCAATGCATATGATACATCTGGACGAGTACACAACATGGCGTACATGATGGATCCAATTGTCGAGGCATATGGAATCCTACTCATGCGCTCTTTCTCATCCTGTGTCTTTGGACACTGAATCTTGCTAAGAGCAACGTCATGTCCCATTGGCAAGGCACCCCTCTTGGAGTTTTGCATCTTGAACCGATTCAAGACCTTGTCAATGTATGTACTCTGACTTAGGCCAAGAAGCCTTCTCGATCTATCTCTATAGATCTTGATGCCTAGTATGTAGGCGGCTTCTCCTAAGTCTTTCATCGAAAAGACCGATCCTAGCCAGGATTTTACTCCTTGCAAGGTAGGAATGTCATTTCCGATGAGCAATATATCATCCACATAAAGTACAAGGAAGACTACTGTGCTCCCACTGACCTTCTTGTAAACGCATGACTCATCTTCGTTTTGCAGGAAGCCAAACGTT